ACATGGCTTGAACAAAAGTGACAAATTGCCATTTTCTCTTCTTCGATTCTCCCTAACCACAAATGATCTTGGAGAGTTCTTGGACATTTTGGAAATCTTGTAACATGCTCTACAATCCATATTTGAAATGCATTTTGAGATACCTCTTTGAACTAGGTGAAAAATGCCCATGAAGTTAGGTCAAAAACCTGCCTAAATTAGGGCAAATTTTCACTAAGTTAAAAAGTTTATGGACCCCTATTCACAAATTCATAACTTGAGATCCAAGCATATTTTTGGAAAACTTTGTGAATAAAAGTTTTAGATATCATGGAGGAATACAACTTTCATGTTGTAAGTTTTCTTCGAATCCAATTGAATCATGGTGAAAAAGTTGTGGAAAGTTGGGAAAAAATAAGAAAATTTCCATACTTAGAAATTTTCTAAGTTATGAAAAATTTTCAAATTAAAACCCTATTTTGCAAAATTGATTTTCTTGATCAACAAGTTTCATATTTTGACATGTCTTGATGAATTATGACCCTTGGCACTTGGTTTTGACCAAAAAGTCAAAGTTTGACTTTTCAGTGTACAGTTGACTTTTGATCAGTTGACTGCAAAATTCATCTGTCAATCCTATGCATTTGAGAACTTTTGAGCTATGTGATTAGGCCAAGATGATGATATTGAGTCCTTGAAAACATGTTTGAACCCAATTGTTCATTGGCTAGGTTAAAAATCAGAAATTGCCCTTTCTTAGTCAAAACCCTAATTTTGACCATTTTGCCCTTTTGATGATTTGATCAGATTTCTTGAGGAGTTGTGGTCCAAACTTGATCAAATGGTACATATGAGTCTAGAATGTTGATGTGGATCAAAAATTATGAAGTTTGACTATAAATTGGCCATGGTTGACTTTTTCCCTAATACAACTGATTTTTAGGTTAACTGTCCAATTGACTGAGCAAAAATGTGATTCAAGGCTTGAAACTTGCCATGAGCAATCTTAGGGGTCCAAGATGGTGTATGAAAGTCACATGAAGCATTGATGGTCCAAAAATCCTTGTGCAAACTCAAACCCTAATTTCAGGCTATCAGTGCAAGGTGATGTCTTGAGATGAGCAAACCTTAATTTTGTCTGGAGTCTAAGAAGTCTTGTGAGGAAAATCTTAATAAATGAGAGGGTAAATTTTAGGGTACAACACCTGCATACAAAACAAACAAACAACCCAATGTTTTGAGGTAAACCTCAAGAGCTCCAGACAAAATAATCAGATAAGATCACAAGGTCTCCAATCATAGGCCAAGGTTTCTAATCCTAAATCCAAAAAGTCCAATGCTCCATAATGCCAAGGGTAGTAACCAAATAGTCAAAGTATCATTAAAGATTTTTAGTGTTTATGTTGATTATTAGGTGTTTTTAAAAGAAAAGAAAAGCTCAAGTGAGCAAAATAAAAAATGACAAGAATATAAAGGGGCTCAAGTGAGCAAAGATGAAAAATAACATGAAATGTAAATGCTAAAAGTAAATGGTGCATAAAGTAAAGAACATAAAATAAAAACACAAAATAAAATCAATTATTAGTGATTAGTGGTTAGTTGGATGATCATATTGAAAATTACATTTGGAACTCATTAGAGAATTGGTAGAACCAAAGCCTCCACACAACAAGTTGCATTTGCTTTTTGTCAAGTATATCATCCATTGGGAATCCTTATGAGTATTATTTAATGATCAACGATATTTAAGTGATCCGCGTTGACCAAAATTGTTCTAGATCCATTAGAGGATTGGTAGAACTAAAGCCTCCACACAATGAATCTCAAGGTTATTGGATCAAAGAGATCAAATTAACATATTTGGGCTTGCAAACATAAGTTTGGGCCACAAATGATTATTTATTCGAATCGGGACAAAATTTAGCGCTATGTTAAGCAATCGTAAGTGGACTTATATAGAAGTCGCACCTATTTTGAGGTCGGTCAATAGCAATCTATGCACCATTTGTTTTGAGACATGATATAGAGATCATGCTCCAACAACATTTAGTGCAATAAGAAGAGGATGAGATGAAGAGGGGTGGGAGAGAATATACAAACCACTTTTGGATTAAATTTAATCAAACTATTATTAAAATCATTCATCCATTTTTGTGGAGTTAGACTCAACACCATGGATCCAATGATGTTAATAAAGTTCATGATCAAAAATTTAGCCCAAGATCAGCCAGAAAATAATCACAAAATAATATTACATTTTAATATATACAAAAAGGTTTAAAAATAATGTTTAAAAATAGAAATAAAAGAGAAAAAATGTCAACTATGTTCAAATTAATCAGAAAATAAAAAGTAAGACCATAGAAAAATCAGAAATGAACTAAAATAATTTTATAAATTTTTTGGTAATTTTTTAAAGTCAGAAACTATTTTAAAATTTAAAGAAATGGGTGAAATAAACCAAAAATGATAAAAAATAGCAAAGTCAGAAACAAAAATAAAATAAGGTCACCAATATCATTGGATCATTCCGTAATTTTTTCAGAATTTTAAAATGCATAAAAGTATTTTTAAACATTTAAAACAATTCCAATAAAGTGTAAATTTATAAAAAAATACCAAAACACAAAGTTAAATTGTGAAAAAATAAAAATCAGAAAGAGAATAATCAAAAATATTTTTCATAATTTTTTCCAGATTTTTTGGACTAAAAATGAATTTTGTATGATTTTTTGAAGTTTAAAACAATTAAATATAAAAAATCAGAAAAGAAAATAAAAGTATAAAATATGTGGACCATGGGATGAGAGTCAAAACGCGTTAGTAATCAAATCCAAGGGATCTGGCGCGCTGTGCATATCATGGTCATTAGTGAATAAAGCACTGAATCAGAAATAAAATCAAAATTCAAAAATAACAAGTGGCGTGTCATCATTGGTTGGAAGATGACACGTTGGTCATCTTCAACCTCCAGTCAACGTAAATCGTAGGTCTCTCAAACTGTAAAATCAGAAGCTGACCTATGCCATTCGCTTCGTCTCTTCAAGACGAAGACAACCACACCCTCGCGCCAAATTTATATAAACTGTAGCTCAACCAATTTGGAAAGAAAGTTTTGAAAAGGAATTTGAAATTTCATGGTCAAAACGTGTTTCTAGTAAGAAGTAAGTGTTGCGACTATAACCAGGGCAATGAGAGCATCACAATGATATCAAAGTTTTGAAGAATTGATGAAGGAATTTACCTATTGAAGTTGAGTTGCAGAGTTCTGAAATTGGATTTCTATGGAGCAATATATGGCACGATTCTGGAATGTAATTATATGGTTAGCTTCAGGGAAGATCAAGGAAGGTGAATTGATGAAAAAATTGGATTGAAAAAGGCTTGAGAATGGATTTCGAAGTTGCTGAATTTTGAGTAAGGGAACAAGTTTGGCAGGGTGATTCTGGAACAAGAATAGACTCAAGGTGATAAAAATTGACCAAGTTATGATCATTTGAAGTCAAACTTGAGAAATTGGGGGTTCATCTAGAGGACTTGTAATCTTTCTTCATCATCAAGTTTCTTCCACATGAATACTCCTTGGAACTTTTGAAGTGATTTGTTGATATCCATTTGTAGAGAAGGATGTCTTTGGAATCACTCAAAAATACCAAAAGATGGGCAAGATATACTCCTTTGAAGTTCAAAATCCTAGCTCCTAGATTAAGAAACATGCCTTGAGGAACTTTGACAATTTTGAACAAACTTCTTGTACCAAAACAAAGGCTTTGTAAATATAAGTTGTTGAGGATGATAATTAGAACTCATAGCAACCACAACCACTTCCATATATTGATAATTGAGAGAAATATACACTTGTTACCAATGGGAATAAGACCTTGTCCAACCATGACTGTTTTTCAATCAACCCCTTGTACTTTTTGGATCAAATCTTGATACCTTGGAAATGTAGTGAACCAAAATAACCTTGCCATGCCATCCATTACAAAACAACTTCAATGGTGAGGTTTGAACTTCTCAAGCTTCATTGACTAGGTCATGGAAATAAACTCATGAACCCGTGGATCAACTTGCCAAGCCTCATTGTCTTTATCTGCTTTGTTGACAAGTAAGACAAACCAACATTGCATTTTATTAATTAAAAGGAAAGTCAAATAAAACATGAATGATTACACAAGAAAAAAAAGTCAAGGTGCTTGGTGATTCCTCAAAGAGAAAAGCTAAAGATAGGGAGGAGAACCAAAAGCCCTAATGTGATCTTGTTGTGATTGAATCAATATGGTATGGTGAAGGGATCTTAGGGGCAAAAATTGGGGTACAACAGTAGGGCGAGCTGACCTATCTTATTTGAATGAACTCGTCCAAAGCAGAGCATGGCGAGTTGCTATGTATGTCTCACCCATATTTTTGTAGATATAACGTTACACGATTCTCTCAAACACGAGGTCTATAAAGACGAAGCGATTAAGGTATAAGAAGAGATGATTCAAGACATACCAGTTCACTTCTAAATGACAAAAAACAACTTAAGTAGGATTCATAAATCGAAACGTGCATCTCACACCTCTGCCAGTCGTCTCACTTTTGCCCAGCGAAACTACATCCTCCTCAAACTTCACTTCATTTGCCTCGAGGTGGGGTAGAACTGAAAAAAAAACCTAAATTACGATTCATCACCACTTCGCAGTCTTTACAAGACGTTTCACACGTGTGACAAAATCAAAGTTGTAAAATTACATGAGATTTTTAAGGAAAACTCTACTAACTATATTTTAAAATGATGAAATGGTGAATAGTTTTTCCTAAATTCAATGAAGAACTAATTAATTAATTATAACGGACTAACCTTTTAGTGATAAATCATTGTCACATTATTTAAGAAACCTTAAAGACCAAACTGAAATCCTACACATTTTAAATCCAATATTTATTAAGGGTATCAAGAAATTAAGATTACATTTCTACTACAAACCAAATGAACAATGTTTGGTATCAAGTATTATCAACACATTCAAAATTCAAACTCTGAAGTAGAGGGTATCAGAATCAATGTCTTCATGCAATATACCCTGAGGAGGAAATTTAGGGAGACTATTTGCAATATATTTGGCCATATCAAAATAAGATTGACTCCTTCTCACAACCACACCTTCTTGTTTAACTCCACCACTTGTGTTTACTTTCTCTACTTTGTTTCCCAATAAATGATTAGAAATGTTACAATTCTCTTCCTTGTTTAATGCCTCAAAACTTTCTATTTTCATTCTCCAACTTCCATTCCTCAAATTGAAGGTGTATAGAGGAAAGAACCTTTGGCCATATAAAGCTAAAAACTCTATAGCACTTAGAATGTACTCAAAATCCTCTTCACTCATGTAATAAGGAAAACTAACTCTTGTCCAACCAGGTTTCACTCCAATATAGCCCTGTTGAACGGCTGATCGAATAGCAAGTGATTGAGATTTATCGATGTTGAGTAATTCATGTCCATAAGGTCCAGCACAAGCACACCCACCTCGAGCTTGAATACCAAAAAGGTCATTAAGCATTGCTGCAACAAAAGGGCCATGGAGTGGTTTACCTCTTTGGTTCCCCATTTCTTGCCATAGATTAAGTTCCTTTTCTTGTTCTTGGCAACTGCTATCAGTTGATAAGTTAGAATTGGTGGTGGAATAGATGAGAAATGACAGTATAGCTTGTCGCTTGACGTGCAAGTTACCCAAAATCTTAATGTTGGAGTTGGATTCAAGTCTCTTAAGTGCCTTGTTAATGTATAGTTCTTCTCTTTTTTCAATCTCTTTGTAGCCAATGTATTCTTTCAACCAAAATGCCAATGCTGCTCTCACTGTCTGGATAATCGGCGGTGTGCCCCCATTTTCCCTCTCTTCTATGTTCTCCATGTATAATGTGTCCTGCATTGATCACACATGAAACTTTTAGCATAGTTCCCCATGTAACTCCTACATTTCATATTGAAGGCGTGTCTCAATGAACACATGTCAAAGTCTAACACTAATATAACAGTGACTCGTGTTACATATAAATTTTTCAAACTGCTACTAGTGTTTATGTGTTAATATAAGTATTTTGTCTGGTGTCTGTGTGGATGCATTATATAGTGTAGTGCTAATCAGTATTTTCTGAAATTTTCAACATGAGAAATGAGATTTACCTTTTCATTGAAGCCATTAACATAAGTGACAGTTCCACCTCCACAAGTGGATGGAGGTGCAGATCTCAACTTATACAAAGCCTTGTTCATCAAAAGCACTCCGGGAGAGTCAGGACCACCAAGAAACTTATGTGGACTGATGAACACAGCATCATACCCATCAGCCTCCCCTGATCTCATGTCAATTTCCACATAAGGACCACTAAACAAAAACAAACACATCTCATCAAACATTCCAACATATAAAGTATCCCAAATAACAAATCTAGCTAACTTTCTATACCTTGCTGCAAAATCAAAACATACAAATCCATTATATTGATGAAGAAGTCTAGCAATTGCACGCGTATCCGAGAAAATTCCAGTAACATTACTGCAAGCAGAGAAAGATCCCAACAAAGGCCTACTTGAATCTTTATAAGCTTCAAGTTGCATCTTTAAAGCTTCCATGTCAAGCAACCCTTTATCATCAAATCCAACCTCTACAACCTCAGCCAAACTCTGCCTCCAAGAAAGTAAATTTGAATGATGCTCATGTGGGCCAACAAAAACCACCCATCTTTCTTGTTCATCAAGGCACCTCAACATCCTCTCCCTCAAAATAGAAGACACCGCAATTCCCATTACTTCTTGTAGCCTCTTGATTGCTGAAGTTGTTCCTGAACCACAAAAGATGATTGCATCACCTTCTCCACCACCTAAGCATTTCTTAATGTACTCCGTTGCTTCGTGTAGCATTTTTGTTGTCCGGCTTCCCACATAACTGTCGCAAGTATGAGTATTACCTGCGTAGGAATAACAAGAAGTAAATATTACAATATTTTTCAAATTTTTCATAATGTGTTGTCAATCATGAAGGAACAAAGTGGCATACCATAGAAAGGAAGAAGATGATTGATGATGAAATTTTCACTGTAACGAAGGCTGCGGCCAGAAGCAGTATGATCCGCATAGACAAGTTTCCTTCTGCCAAACGAAGAATCAAACTCAGCATCATCATCACCTATGATTTGAGACCGCAACCAACGCAGTTTTTCTTCCACAGATTCATGACAAGGCAAGTCCATTTCCACCAGCTTCTTAAATGACTCAGGGTGGTAGCAAAAATCATTAGATACTTCTGATACGTTACTTGTTTTAGATAAAGGTTCAGAGTCTCCATTTTGAGGTAACATGGATATGATTTTTGCTAACAATGGATATGATTCTAGCTCCATAACAAAGAATTGAATATAGTGATGTATGATATTGCTAATGCGATGAAAGATATAGGAAAAATGGTTTATTATAAGAGAATGTAGAATATATATTATATAGTTTGATAGAGACATAGTGTTGATCATTTTCAGTGGGATTGTATATCATGTGCTGAACAAAACCTGTTGCTACTATTTTATTGTGAATATTGTGATGTATGATATAGTGATGTGATGAAAGATATATGAACAATGGTTTATATATAAGAGAATATATAATATATTATATACTTTGATATTTATTATCAGAGAATGTAAAATATATTATTTAGTTTGATAGAGACATAGAGTTGATGATTTTCAGTGGGATGGTATATCATGTGCTGAAACTGAACAAAACCAGTTGATACTATTTTATCATCTATATTTTCAAATCTGGTAACATTCATAACATTGTATTTGAACTTTAAATGTGCTTTTTCTTTCCCTTCTTTTTGACTCACTATAATGTTTAATATATTTTATATTTGTCTTTTCCACAGCACACCCATTACATGTAATATAATAAGATTAAATGTCTTTTTGAACTATTTAAATATAACAACTTTTTTTAGTTTGAATGTTTTTTTAAAACTTTGGTCCTATAATTTTGATATTACCAATTTTTAATTTATCCTTTTTACTGAAGTTTGTTTTACATATTTTTAAGTGATTTTTTTAATAGTATATATTTGATAAAATATATTTTTGAACTATTTAAATATATTAACTTTTTTAGTTTGAATGTTTTTTTATAAAACTTTGATCCTATAATTTTTTATTATCAATTTTTAATTTATCTTTTTAATTGAAGTTTATTTTACGTGTTTTAAGTGATATTTTTAATAGCATATATTTGATAAAACCATGGAATATCATTAGTTTAATGATTTGATTATTTATTTTGATTAATTTATCTATAAACTTAAATAAAAATACATTTTTAAAAATAAATAAAAATAGTTATCAACTATATCAAATAATAAAATTATTTAAATAGATTTTTTAACTTTTTTTCTTCTTTTGATTCAAATTTCAAATTTCTTCCATTTTATAACTTTTATTTTAACATTTATTTTCTATGTTTTTTTCCTTTTTATTTTTCTAAGCTTAAATTAAAAAAAAATGAACATTTTTTAATGGAATAAAGAGAAAACAAAAAATTCTAAAAACACAAAACTTAGTTTCAATAGAAAAATAATTATTTTAGGCTTATTAAATAGTTATTAAAAAATCATTCATAATTATAAAATTAATAAATTATTTTATTTAATTATTCAGATAATTAATGAGTCATTATCAATAATATTTATTTTATTTTTAATTAACAATTGTTTTTATTTGAAAGATAAAATTCTAATTTTCAAACCTCATTTTTTTCTTCTTAATCCATCTTTTGAGTTTTTCCTTTTCTTTTTGTATGGTTATTTAATACAATTGATTTTAATTGATTTTATACATCGTTGATTACTTTATAATTAAGTAATTCATTTCAAATTCGCACGTGTATAATATTCAATAGCAGTATAGACAATTAATTTTCTATTTCACAAGTCACTATTCAAACAATATCTATTTTATTTTAATCAACAATTACTTTTATTTAAGAGATAAAATCTTTATTTTAAAATGTCAAATTTTTCTTTTTCTTTTCTTTCTCCATCTCATGGGTTTCTTTTTTGTTTTTGTTTTTGTACAGTTATTTAATACAATTGAATTTATATGATCATCGTTTATTTTTTAATTAAGTAACTTGTAATACCTCAATTCTACCAGATAATTATATAAAATCAGAGTTACAGAGTTTCGACAACTTAATCAGATGCTACAATTTCAACTTAAAAACAACGACATTTAACACAGATACATACTTTAAACTTGGATGAACCAACAACATCATATAATTAATCGTTTAAAATTGACAACTTTCATAACTACGCAGCGGAATCATAATATTCGACTTAAAAGAATGTAACATCTTTATCCAACTGAAACAACTCCAAATAACGAGTACTTAACAAAAATCAACTTAAAATTAAACAATTGAAGTAATAACAACGATAAAGCAATGAGCATTCATTCCCCCGAGTGTTACGTATCAGAGAAATGACACTGACTCAAACTACTGAAGGTAAACCGCCTTCACTCTAGATTACCTGCACATTACCAACATATGGATAACACTCAAACAGAAGGAATGAGATATCAAACAATACAATAGAACACATGATAATTAATACATTAGAAATAGTTCATACAAAATCACCACTTCGCAGCTCTTTAACAACATAAATGTAATCAAGTCAACCATACAACGACTCAGAATGCAACATGGAACACGACTTGTTTTTATGCACATGCATGTGGTATCAATGGAACAAAACTCTCAACTTAATAATCTGCCAATAAATAAAGGCATCAACAAGACATAAGCATTCAACTTAATATTTTGCCAATTCAGGCCAACTTAACGAGCATCAGCTCCAACTTGATATGCGATGTATGCGACAACAACATGAATGTAACAACAATAACAAACAACAACTCAACGCTGGCCATAAGCCTATAACATCAACAACAATTCAACATCAACTCAACATAATTCAACTTTAATCGTACACCTACAACATAATATCTGCCAACAATTATAGGCACCTCAACATAATTCATCAACCTGAAATTTCTCAACTCAGAACAACTTATACAACATTGATATCGACCAAATTAACATACACGGGCAATAGGGTTAGGGAAGAACTATGTGCCCCTCGACATGCACAGAAACTAAGAAAAATAACAATTAACTTGTGCTCCTCGACACAACCTGCAACTTCGTGCAACTCGACAACAGTACTATGCTCCTCGGCACGCCCTGCAACATAATACCGTTCGACATCCAACACATATACTCTCCGAAACACCTCGCAGCCTATATGCTCGACACCTAACACCATCAGTATCCTCATCGACCACTAATTCCGGCCAACAATATGAAACAATACAACGTCATAACGACCACCATAACACAACCTATAATTTCCGGCCAACTGCTCGGAATAACTCAACAATGGCAACCTAACGACTACTTCAACATGTAATAATCTACACTAACCTATTCATCGATTCTACTGGGCAGTTATACAGACAACTCAAAATGGCCACAACATAACAAACAAACAACTCTCTATAACAAGTTCATTAATCATACAAGATAGTCATACGGTAACTTCCTAAACGACCACAACATGAAGAATCAGGAAACTTCAATAACAGATCACGAACATCAACATACAACACCCATAAATATGATCGATTCCCACATAAGAATCACCATCAATCTCATTATAAGGTCAGAATCGCACCCTTATCTCGATTGAAGGTCGCTCTACAAATCTCCGGCTGACAGCCTTGCTCTGCTCGACAATCGTGCAACTTTGCTCCTCTCTTTAGCGCAGCTTCACACGGTCACACACAAGACTTATTTTACCAAATAACCAAATCCTTGTGCTAACTTAACATTATACCATTAATCTTATTGGGCTTAACTTCCACACCCCCACTTTATTACTTCCAACCAATAAAATAGACTCAACACAATTATTCTATTATTTTACTAATTCTAGCATTATTATTATTATTATTATTATTATTATTAATCAACTAATTAATTAACTAATAATAATGTAACAACTTATACCAGCAATTCACAACATCTCTCAACTTCAACAAATAATTTCAAAAATAATTAATTAAATAATTAATTAATTAACGGGCGTTACATAACTCATTTCAAATTTAGATGTATAGCTAAATATATTTTTTATTGTATCAAATTGGATAATACTTCATTTTCGTGTAAACAATTAATTTTTCATCACACGGATCACTATCAACCCAGTGCATATTTTATTTTTAATCAACATTGAGTGAGTTTTATAGAAATATTGTTCATTTTATGATTAAGTAACTTATTTCAAATTTACATGAATATTTAATTTTCTATCTTATGAGTCACTGTTAACACAATATCTATTCAATACAATTAAATTTATATAATTATTGTTTATCTTACAATTAAATAATTTATTTCAAATATATATATATATATATATATATATATATATATATATATATATATATATATATATATATATATATATATATATATATATATATATATATATATATATATATATATATATATATATATATATATATTAAATATATTTTATATCGTAATAAATATATTTATCCATGAGTATCTTGTTAATTGTTATTAAAAATTGCAAATAAAATAAAATAAAATTTGGTAGACTAAACCTAAATCCAAAGAAGAAATAAATACAAAAAATTTGCTGGTTAAAAACCTTATAAAAAAAATACCTGTAGGATAAAAACATGATAAAGAAAGAAAAAGGGCATTATATACAAAGAAAAAACTTAATAAAATCTGAAAAAAGTAGTACATGGTTCCTATGTTTCTAAGGAACTTTTTTACAATACAATTTAGTAAATTACTATTATAACCAAAAGTCACATTCACAATACCATTTGCATAAATATTTCTTTCCATGCAAATAATTATTTCGAATTAAATTGATATAGTTAAATTATCTAGTTTGAAACTTTCAAAAGACAATTTTTAAATTAGAAAAAACTTAATAATCAAACATAGAGTCACGTTAGAAACAAAATTTAAATATTTTATCATGAGTAATCTCAACGAAATAAAATATAAGCCATTAGAAACATCAAAATGATCACTTTTCAATTATGTTTGCCTGCTTTTGCTTTTATTAAGAGTGTTAAAAAATGGTTAATATATATTGTCTCGAATATTATTTTGAGATTTATTAAATAATCTTTTAATTCAAAAATAGTTATATTTATTCTTTAACTTTTCAAAATATTTATATTAAACATTTTTGTTTAATTTAACGATTTTTTTAAAAAAATTCTGTAATTAATTAGATGAAAATGAT